AATAGTAAGACTTTTATTAAGGAGAGAAGCTCAAATAGACAAGATTTAAGACAGTTTAAAAATAGGCGAAGGAATGGAGCCAGTACGAAAAACAAGACGCAAATTGATATTATAAAAGAAAAGAAAAAAGTGCCAAGACTATCAATAACAGTGCATCACTGGTAAAAAAGACTAACCTTCAACCAAACTTTGAAAAATACAGAAATCCCAGCAAATAAGCTTGTAGAAATAAGACCGCCACCTCGTACCTTGATGTTTCCTTGCAGAAAAGGATTCAAAAGCATGTTTCGTGCGGGTTTCAAACGCCTAACAAAGACCTGTCAAGCCCACGTATTTCCTTGGTCTCTAGACCCCTATCATCCTCGTTCTTTCAGACGACATAAATGTCACAATGCCTTTCGTCGTCTTTGACACTCCTCGTCCATAAGACTGCGACTCAATCTTCTTTCCTTCAGCATCCATTCTGTAAATTCATAGCCAGCACGTTCCAAGTTAGGATAGAACATCACCCCATAGTGGTCCACACCGTTCGCTGCTTCAGGCGCGTAGTAGATCAACAGATTTGTCTCATTATGGATCAGCACTGTCTTAATATGGATAGTCTGACATTCATCCTCGTAAAATCCAGCTATAGTTGCCATCTTTCCACTTTTCCGGAATTTAAGATTAGTCCGCATAGTTTCCATCCGCAACTGCACGTCTGACTCCCAATGGCGCCTTCGCGTAGAGTACACTTTTACTTCAGAGAGTTCTCCCTAACGCCCGTATTTAATGGAGAGCTCAAAAGTCGGCTCTCGTAAGTTGTTCTGGAAACGTTGCACTGTCGCATGGATGTCATCGGGCCAGTAGACTGTACTGATATAGGCTGAAACTAAACTATTTTTTGAAATGTGAAGAAACTGCTTGAGGACCTTGTGCTTTTGACCGTCCTTTGCGTCCTGCAATTCGCCCAGACGGCTTTGATGCGCATTTTGGGTCCCCGGTACTTGAATACTCTCAAAGGTTGTTCACGTTCTGCTTTGATCTTCTCGGCCTCATCACCCGGGCGGCGTAATCCTATGCCAGATAATAGCGTGTCCACCCTCTTTTCTAATAGATTTCAAAGTCTGTCTCTTCAGCTGTTAACTCCAACACTTCCAATCCAATTAAATCTCCCTCCTTGGGTATCGCCTGCACCGTAATATCACCTTCACGTAACTTTGCTGGTCCTTGCAAGCCCTCGGCTATCGCTGCAGCTTTTGAGCTGCCAAAGGTCCAAGGCCCTTGAGCGGAAGCTGGAATGACAGTCATCTTTTGCATTGCCACAGATTGGAACTCGACTGCTTAACATGGGGGTCTGACCACTTCTGTAACGACACATTCGCATATCCGTTTTACACCCAACATCTGCCACTCTCTCACTTGTTCGTTCAACTTCATGGTTGCTACTTTGTATATATCAAAAGTATCAAAGGGATAGTAGCTTTCGTTTCTCTTCTTGAGCACTTCCACTATCATTGGTTCCTCATTCTCCATACCCCGGTTACCCTGGTAGGTCACGTCCAACACAAGCACGTAACAGAGTGCTAAGACTTGACACAAGAACTAGCGGACTGGAGGAGGCAGTGCCACCGGTTCTATCCATTCCACTTCTGCCCGCTCGTTCTCGTACTTCATTGACCTCCATTTTTGCTTACTTTTTAGGTGCATAATTTCTTGAGAAGATGACATTTTGCACATTCAAATGCTTACTTACTCCTTTAACACAAAAATCTGAATTTTCAAATCTTTGTAAGAAAAGGAAACAAACTTAAAAGAATTGCCATCCTTCAGGCAAATTATGCACACGGTCTTTGATTCTAAAGAACAGTTGTTCAAGCTTTAAAATATGGACCCTAGGGCTAGTTTTTACCAAAACAGAAGCCAACAAAACTGACACCACCTTTTTGACTTACTAAATTTTTATGACGTAAAAATGACGCAAGTCTTGCTGTTGAACAGAAGTCTAGCATGCTTGGATGTTGCTGCGCTTCAAATAATTGGTATTATTAGTTTGTTACTGATAACATTTTAATAGTTTCCAATCTCGGAACAAGTCGAATGGTTTGTGTACGACCGTCCAAACCTTACTCTCTTCAGCTTCATTAATGATGTTGAAAATGTGAACTAAAGCTGATGTCTCTGCAAAATTTAGCTGGCCACTAAACTCAAGTTGCTTACTGTGGATGAGCATTCTAAAAGACAGCTTTCCTTTATTACTGATTGTTTAAAAGCCAATATAACTCTTCCCTGATTTGAGGAATTCTCCATATTTTTTGAAAATTGGACTGTTTGATATGTTACATGTGCTAGTGCGTTTCCAAAGTCTGCGCTACACTGGTATGTAAGCTGTGCATCCGCTAAAACGTCGTAAAACCCTTTCAGAGAGAGAAATTTGACGTGACACTCTGTTTAATTCTTGTCTCATAATCAGTCTCAATTTGTAAATATCAATTTAGATTTCTAAGGCTCTTAAACAACCGATTTTTGCTCAAGTTTTATGACCCACTTCCTCAACGGTTAATCCTTGAGCTGTAACAAGTAAAGCGAACCCTGGTATTTTTATTACTCTTTCCAAATGGTGATCATATCAAGTGACCGATATATTCTCTCCTTTGCTCACACATTGGCACGTCTCATGCGGTCAATGGCACTGCATAGCCTCAGATCTGCCAGCGCATTGTAGGGCACTTAAGTTCCTGCTATTTTTAGATCTGGTGGGAGTTGCATTCAGCATGACAGTACTCCTAACATCTGATAAAAAATGTTTGCTCACCATTTGGTAACGGTGGAATATGAGCGTTAACTAATCCTAATCTCACTGTTCCTAACTTAAACATCTCAAACCCTCGTAGGATCCTCTTCTCTTCGGCTAACTTCTGTGATTTATTTAGCTGAATGCTTAGCGTATTGGATGGCATCAGGATAGGATACAAGAAGAATTCATATACTTTCTCACTTAAAGGCTTAGCATAAGTTTGATAGAAAAGGTAGGCGGCTGAACAGAGAAGAAATCCGCAACACGCACATTTGCATGTTTCCTGGCTATAGGCGAACCCCAGACTTTCATTAAAATATCCTCTCAAATTCTTTAACTTTGAGTCGATTCTGACCTCTGCAAACTTCTCCCCAAAGCACGACCCCACTAATGCACATTTCTTATAAAAAACGGTATTTAGTTTGAATGATTTCGAATATAGCACAAAAGTAAAGCTTCTATCAAGAATTTTCTTCCAACTAATAATTCTATTTGACAGTGTATCCCTATCTCTTAAATTTCTTAACACTGTGGTCTTGGTTGCGTGCTTCAGATTCCAATTGGCAAGGCTACCTATGCCTATTCTTTATCCGCCTTAATATCCGTGTCGCTTGTTTCTTGATTACCTAAGCAACCTAACGCTCATTTGTTACATTCACATCTTTTGTCACAAGTGCCCCCTCCTAAATGCCTACTTCTAGATTCTAGCAAGTGCCAGCCATGATTACTTAAGATGCTTTTCATAACAACAACGCTGGAAGAGAAACAATTTTGAGACGTTCTATGAGTCAGATTGTCTTTCAGATTTCACTTAGGTGACACTTGGTTGTTGGCAGTACCTAAGGATTACCAGCTGAAATACTGCTTTTTGTTTGTCAGAAAAGTCCCAGAATTTTACGGTTCTGTAGCCGGTCGTTCCACTCATCATTTTAGATCCGAACTTCTTTGTTCAAACAACTTTTCCTTTCTTTTCATATTCACGTTTCTGATCCTTCCAATAAGTGTCACGGTCTTTTTGTGAAAGTTAGACTTAGCGTTGTTCAAATAGTCATGTTATTTATATTGAAACAGAGTAACAACAAGTGAAGTACTCAAGAAAAATCTGTATGTTACTAAATAAGACAAAAAAAAACAAGCTTTTTTACGTCTATCCCATATTCTGCATGAACCAGAAGATCAGTTTCTAGAACTTTCCTAGATTACTGCTGTTCAGCGATCATTTCCGAGATGTAAAACAAGAGCACAATTTTGCTTTAGCTCTAAGCAACTAAAAAATTAGGTGATTTTTTAAGAAAACTGTAATTTTTTTGGAAAATTTTGATTGAATCATCGGAATCCAACGACCTGAAACTCATGACGACGACAAATGATGCAGTACGAGGGAAAAGAGGAATTGTAAGGCGAGCAGAAATGCAGTGTTGCTTTATATACTCTACCAAAAGCATTCATTTCAGCTGTGTTATAACGTGAGATATAAGTGCAATTCTTCGCCCAGAAAAGGCCAATCCAGTTCTGGCAGGAGATTAAGTCGGAAGGTCACAACAGAAAATGTTTTATTCCACCAGAGACGAGAAGATTTGTTACTAAAATTAGCAAAGAGAGCCAAGCGCTCTTACAATCGAACTGCTTTCATTAAATTAAGCGGTTTAACTCAGCATAAAGATTTGTATCCACCACAAACTTTATGCAAATTCCTCCTTAAACTAGGGGGTTATGCATCTTTCGTATGCAGATACCTTTTTGAAGTCTACTCGCATAGTTTCCAAAAACTTCTTCAAAGACTGTGTTACTTTGCAAGAAGATACATTACTCAACTTGTTTGATTTAAAGGTTCCCTTTTCCGTTTACGACAGCGACTGGTACGGCTATATTGGAAAAGTGGTGAATAAGTTAAGCTTTATAGAAAAACAAAGAAATATTATCGCAATTTTTAAATAATAACGATACATTCAAAATACAAGGACTTCTTTATTTACTCAAAAATGTGACCGGTTCCATTTGTGCTTTCACTTCACCTTTCAAGCAATTTCCGGTGGTATCGCTCTTCTGAAGATTCATACTACTTGAGTGCGTGCTAGACACGGAAAAGAAACAGTTCATTTTCTCCTTTTCCATCACTAGACATATTTTTCGCCAAATGCTTCAATTAGCGCCTTGTGCCTGTAATATAGTGCTATGTTTTTACACCTAGTTTGTCATCAAAGCGCTTCATTCGCGTCAGAACATCAAAGCATCACTACTTTCGCTCTAATCGTTCACTTTTCGCGTTTGTCCCTGCTCATCGATTGGTAAAGCATGAGTTAAGATCCGTAACTTTTAGCTTAAAATTTTTGGCCTTGTTAACGAGTGTCATTTGCATAAAATTTGAGACTCTGATTAATATTGTGATAATGTGCTATAATACCAATTAAGGTGCTAAGTTTTAAGCAAAGCCACCTCAGTCTTTCTGAAAAAAGTACCGAGACTGATATAAAATTAACATACTTTTGTCCGGGTTGGTTAGCGCTGTCCATTCTGTGCCCGTCGAACGTCACATTCTCGTCCTTCAAACTGTCCCCGGAGTGTAATTTTAATCAAACTTGCCTGCTAAATTATTTCACTTGAAGTGTTACTTTGTCGAGATACCATAGGCCTTCAACGAGGTCGTATTTTTTGCTTTGGTGCATTTCAAAATTTGTGTACAAAGCTTCTCGTAACCAGCATGTTGAAGATCTTACCAAAACGAAATGCGTATGTGCTGAAAAACTCCAAATCTTCAAAAATTAAACTTAGTACAGACATGATTCCGAAACTGTTCTCGTTCATTCGAGATGCGTATTCTGGAAAGATCCTAGTCGTCAGAATTTTACAAGAATAATTCGTGGGACTAAGCTAATCCGACTGAAAATTGCTGGCCGATCTCTGAAGTTAAGTATTGTTCTCTTAAGCCAATTCGTTCTTCTCGCACAAACCTGCTTTAACTCCAGAAAATTTTTCCTCTAACTAGAATGTTCATTCCGAAAACAGCTTACGCTCGTTAAAAAGTTCTAAGAATGAACCACTAAATTCTGTTAGCTGCATAGGGAGATACAGTTTAAATTTTTAAATCAAATGCCTTTTTTTCGTTTTTGTTTTTGCTTTTTCTGTGTCAGAAAAACTTCTTTTCTGTCTTGATTACCTTTTCAAATTAATGGCAGTTGGAGTTTTATAAAAATTGCTAGAAGCACACTCCTCTAGGAAATAAGCCCAATTATTGCCGTCTATCGAGTTCCATTACACAACTAAAACACTGTAACTGAATAGATTTTTTTGGGAAGACCAGAAAGTGGTCAAGAGACGTGTATGAAGAAACTACAAAAAAGGTGGATTTCAGAAATATATAGGGTCGCGGTTCCAAGATATCCACGCTACCTTCAGTCAACCGGTTAACATAAAGACGGGCTTGTGAAATGGCAGAAGAGTTCGAGCAGAATTTTGCATTAGACCGTCAGAAAGCTAGCAAAAGCTACGTAGACAAATTCGAAACTACTAAATACAAACTGGGTGGCAATGAGAACTCAGAGTCCAAATAAATGAAGTTGTGTTGACGACCAAAAAAGAATGTCTGAAAGTCGGCACGCTTTACCAAAACATCGCCGATAAAGTTTGGAATGCACTGAAACAAAAATTACAATTCCTTCAACGGTTCATAGTAATCTCATAAAGTACAACTTTCTTGTAACACAAGTAGGAGAAGTAAACTAACTGGAACTGAACCCAAAGGACAGTTCAAAGAATGATAGAAACGGCCGATGAGCAAGACTGACGGTGTTGATTAAAGAGGGTAAAGCAAGACCAGTTTTAGGTTAATTTAAACATCTTCAGGAACAATTGAGTGCGTCGCCTTAAAAAAATTCAAGATTCTGACTATTATGACGCATTGCCGCAATACTAATCAGCGTTTTCGATTTCCACCAGATGATCCAACAGAAAAAGCAAAGATTGTTCAGCTGAAATTCCAAACCTTAGCGTCTATATCACTGATGCATCAGTGTAAGCAAATATGCTTGCTCCTTTTATGAGGACGTAAGTTTTCACTTTGCTGTTACGATTTCCGAAATGAAAAGAATGAAAGACATCTAAATTATGTTAACAAAAATATAACTAAAAGATAGCTGTTTTTGTTCAAAGGATTTCACTTGAAACAATCTAAACTGTCAGACGACAACTTCCCTGCAAAAGCAGCCCTACTGAATAAGGACGTGATGAGCCGTCCGACTCAACCAGCACAATTGAAAATCTTTTGCAAGTGCCATGTGTAGTTAAAGCGCCTTCGAGATGCCGTTCCTTCCATGAAGACCTCACAGTAAGTGGAGAAAGTCAGTCGACGTACATTCACAGCCGAAAAATTCTTCTGACTATTCCACACATTAAGCTGTGTCCCACTAATTTAAGAAAGAAGTTCCAGGAACAATCAATACCAAATTAGTCAAATTTTAAGCGCGTCACTTTTTAAAGGCAGAAAACAATTGAACAATGCTTTATCTCCTTGACAAAACTGCTTAACACTTAACCACGTGCAGTGGCAAAAAGATCACTGAAAACCGTAAAATCACAATTTGTGTAATGAATTAAGTATCAAAAAAAACCGTAGGCGAAAGAAATGTAACAGCAAAATTACTTACCTCAACACAACCAATACTTTTACATACGAAGCAAAACTAGACAAAAGTGAAAAAAACAACTAGAGTTGAGCAATATATACAAAAATACTTTACCGTAACATAATACCTGCACAATATCAACTTGAAAACAATGACAGTGAAAAGACACTGAATGAATCAGATCGACTAAATTACAGAAAATTGTACAAGCTGCAGAAGGCTTCATAAAATTCATTATATCTTGCTCTGAAGCAAAAATACTACTACTGAAACGTTAAGTGATGAAAACTTTTAATTTCAAAAACCAAACGTTCCGTTTCATGAAGTAACATGTTTCAAAACTTTAATTAGAATCCTTAAGAAGGGATTGGAAATTTCTGAATTCTTAAAAGTCCAATGATGAAAAATGAAATACTGGTGTATAAGACAATGCTGGTATAGATTAAAAAAAATAATACTTTGGAGTAGAGGACAGATGAATAAATGTATGTAGATCAGTTCAAAAGAAGTCGAATACTTTTGAATTTACACCTCTAAAAAGTCAGAATATTTCAAAAATCTAATGTTATCAATTCTCCTCAAAAACAGTTTCAAAATCCACTATCAAGCGATAACAAAAATTGTTCAAATTGTTCAGCTGAGTCATCGGGACCTAGAAAGTAAACAATTACCAATGAAAATTCTTCAAATTCCCTGTTTTTCAGTAACAATCAGTTCCGAATAAATGTAAAATTTACCTGCTGATCAGTCGGCCAAGTTAAATTTGGGCCAAAGACAACGCTGAGATTACTTGCAGTCATCTTATTTACGTCACTACACGCAGCCACCTATAAAAATGATTGCAGTTTCAGCGCAAACAAAATTCTGATGTCCCTATCTGTACCAATAAAAAAAAAATACTGTAGTTTATGGAAGCAATTAGTTTTCCGTCAAGAAAAAGAACGCAAAAAATAGCACCTTCGTTAAAAACTGACAAACTGTTTTCAAAAGTAAGTAATTTTCTGGTGGGAGAAGACGTACGAAAGCACATATAGCAGGTAATTTGTCCTCCTTCGATACCGCTAAAACAACATGAAGTTTTCAAATTATTACTTCAATTTTTCTCGAGAATGCTTGTAAAAAATATCTTTTTGTTAAAAAGAATAGAGTCAAGAGACGAAGAGCAAAGTCATACATGCAAGAGCAACAAGGTCCGGGTACAGCGCGTTTGTGACCACAGGCTCTCCCAAAGCTCGCAAAAACGTTTTTAAAAGAACAGAAGCATCTATCGATGCAGCTACAATGTTCCCGTCATATTCCTCTTCTTGTAAAAAGTTAATCTTTTCACCTAAAACAAGCTAAAGTTCTATAAAAAACTAGATAAGTTTCCAAAGATATATATATGTACTGACTACCAGTAAAAACCGTTTGACAAGACCTTTGTCAATCCGCTCCTGCAAACGTTTAATCCTTGAGACCTCAGCAGAACGTCTGAATAGACCTTCAACATTTAAAGAATGCTCAGACATGAATGAAATCAAATCAGTTACAAGTGGAGGGACATCATAGTCAGGGTTGTGCGACAATATACTGAAACAAACAGTGAACCTCACGAGAGAAATGCTTTCGAACATCAAACATGCTAAAAATGTGCAAAAACCTGCCCAGCAAAACTTGTAAAAAGACAGAATATCTCTGCCAAATTTTACTAAAATGAGACTAAAAATTACAAGCTGAGAGGAACGTTGAATTGTTGTGTAGGTCTCGGTGGTGAAGGTGATATTTTACTGAAGGATGTTTCTCGCGTAATTGACTTAGATGCTACTTGTAACATTTTATCGTGGCTACAAACATTATTGCTACTTCAAATATCCGTCGATGTTGAAGAAAAGTGGTGAAAAACACAATAAAAAAACACCAACTCTTTAACAGGTTGTGGCAAATTAAGCTGTTCTACCCGCAGATACGCATTGAGCTCATTAAGATAATTCACGTAGTGAATTTTCTTTTCAAATTTGATTGATATAAAGGGTTTAAAAAGGCCCCAAAGTACTCGAATAAAACGGGTCGGATGAACAAGGAATAAAGCCTTCAAATTCTTTTTGTACCTGAAATTCCCTCACTGAGAACAATATAAGTATGAAACCTATATTCTTAAGAATGTTTAAGTAGAAAATTTTCTCTTATTTCCAACTAACAGACAAAAATTCAACAAAATAGTGTCATGTCACAGTCATGACTACTCTTTTTCCCACTAAAAACAATGTTCAAAACTGAATAAGACAATAATTATCAACATACTTCCTGTCAAGTATGGAATAAGCCTGGAAAAGCCATCTTAACGGAGGTTTGTTATTACTCCTGAGGCCGTAATGACAGTAGATAATAGTATAGTCAAGTTCTACTACTTTATCAAGTGTGAATTGCAAATACCTAGAGTAAATTCACAAACAATAATTGACAACCGATATATTCTAATGAAAAGTCTAAAATAATCACTGTGGTAAATTAACAACCTCAAGAACTTCTGATGATCGAAAGTTTTGTTGGAAGGTAAGCGATATGCGTAAACAACTATGATGGGTCTGTAACATCCAAATGGCAAGTATTACAGTAGCTTTTAATTCCATCGTCGATTATAACAATATCAAAGCGGTAATAAAGAGAAAGAAAATTAAAATTAACCTGCCAACTCGGTCACCGTGAGCTATGACTTCTACAATATCATGCTGGCTAATTTCTGTGAAATCTTCAGCAAAAGGATCATCAGCGGTACAGCCCCATTCCCGCTCAAAATTATCCCGCTCTAAGTATGAACGAGTCAACTCTTCGCCTAAAACGCAATTGTTACATTGTGGAAAGAGTTGTTATTTAAAGTTGATTCACTTCGTGTTAAAAAAAAGCAGTGATATATAAATTATTGTAGAGATCAAAAACCACCTTTCTCAACGATCTCTGAAGAAGAAACACCGATAAATTAACTGAGGGAAATTGAAGCCTGTTAAAACACAAAAAACGGAAAAAGAACAGAAACAAAAAAATTTTACCATTTGTTGGCCCAATATCGCCGTAGAAAATATCGTCTTCAGCAAAATCCGTTTCAGGTTCGACAAAGCCCATCTCACTATTTGATTCTGTCATAGTTTTACTGGACGTTACTCCCAAGTTTGGAAAAAAATTCATCAAGCACTAAAATAATTTAGCTGTAACTAACCGAGAGTGTTTGGTCTAGAGAAAATTTTTTTCAAAATACTTAACAGTTACTATTTATAGTACCTTTAAAAATGCATAAATTCTTAATTCTTAAATGTTAATTCTAATACGGAAACAATGTAATTGCAAATACTACAACATGCTACTCGATAATAGTAAAAAACTTTAAGAAGTCATACACAATTTCCAAGACTTTTGTGGCTAAGCTATTCAAATTATTCTTTACTCAATAACAGGTAAACGTATGGCTAA